AAGCATAAATTTGCTTAGCCTACCTTATTAGCTTGGAACAAGACCAAAAATCTAAAATTTCAAACTGGTTTTTTCTTGTCAGTGAGAAATTTGTTTCAATATTTTTAAAATCGTTTAAATCGCGACTGAGAGGACTTCAATATGATATATCATTTGACCTATTCCACGTTAGAAATAAGCACCTAGAAATCAGTCGATTTATTTCTCATCTCATGCTTTCAACCTTGCACAAAAACTTCTCAAAAAAGAGCTATTTGGTATATATACATCTAAAAACTTAAAAAGCACTTAGCTTACCGTTCAAAAACACTGAGAAACACCTTTGTCTCAAAATACAGCTGGAAAGTCAACATCAGGGTAAAAAAAAATGGTCCAAGGCAACGTTTTTAGTCAGTTTTTTTTTTAATTAAATGAATGCTTTGGAGTAGCAAATGGAAGAAAAAGATGTAAAAATGTTGGAAGAATGGAAAGTTGTAAATCAAAATAGATCAGATTTCTGGGACTCGAAGAAAGAGATGAGCTCTCTTGAGCGAATGTTGGTTCAACAGGAACGCTACACCAGCAAGAACTGCCTGGTATTTCAGCTCAACTTTCCGCTCAACCCCAAATCGTCGCAACTGGTAAATGACGTGTGTAAGGCCAATTGTACCAGCTGGCATCAAAGCTGTCATCCGCTACGATCTACCAGGAGTAGAGTATAGTGTTCCCATCCTTGTGAAGTTTGTGTGTTTTCTTTAAAAAAAGCTGATATATAAAATCGCAGAAATGAATTGGATGCAGGAATATTAATGGCAACACGGGACAAACAACTCAAAACAAAGCAAAGAATTGAATCATTTAATGTGAAACTGCTTACAGATGTTCTTAACATTAAAATTGATTGTGTTAAACACTTGAACCTAGTTAAATTCACGTTACCAACAGACAAAACACAGACGCAATCAGTAGAAAAGTCAATTTCTGAAACAGCCAAAGCTTGCAAAAAAATTTCTTCAGGTTTTACGAGGGGACTTGATGGCAATTTTTTTGATAATGAAATGCTTCAAAGTGGATGGGGTCAGAACTAAAAACATTTTTTCCCTATCCTAAAGAAAACAATAATTCATCGGAAAACCTGCAAAAGAAAATGTTGAAACATTGCAAACTAACCAGCCATGACATTGAAAGCAGTAATTGTTTTTTTTTTCAGGAAAAATATTTTTTGCAATCTCACTTCTGACAATTTTCTTGAAAAAAAAACATTTTTTTTCCGATTAAGCATCCCATACAAGCTCATAGCGATCAGAAAGAATTTTGACCTTAATAGTCAACCAGGTGTTTTAGGACTTTGTTAAACATGAGGAAGCTCTAAGGACCACAGAAGTTTGTTCCACCTTGATGGCTATTGTGATTTTTATGCTATAATGGGGAGCTGTAGTTGTTCATGGATTGAGTTATAGCAATCAACTTGTTTTCAAATTGATATGAAACATTTTTTTTTGAAATAATTGAATCATAATTTTCTGAATCAAAAAGTATGTATAATTTATCAGCCACCCTCGATGCTTTTTTAATGATTTTTTGGAGAAATTAGAAGGTATCCAGTTCAAACTAAAGGTACTAGAAGATGAACGAAACCGTGATATTGTCGCAGAAAAACATCGACAAACTGTCGAGTACAAAATTTTATTGATTGATAGTTTTTCGCCTACAAGGATTAGTTCAGCTTCAAGTGCTCGTATCGATCAATTGATATCGATTATAAACCTGACTGTAACTACAAATATCTGTAGTATAAGTGATCATTATGTTTTGGAGAGTACAATCAAATTAGATTTATGTAAAAAGTCAAAGTCTAAAAAGTTTTTGCGAAATGATATTAGCCCTTTGAAAAATGACGATGCTATGTTGAAATTTTTCTTTAGCCTAAACCACAAACTGAATAGCTCGATTGGAATGACCTGAACTTGAACGCTTTTTTTCATTTGAAATTTTGCCGAACAAAGAAAACCTTTGAAAAGCAATGTGACGAAAAAGTCTCGGAGTACAACGAGAATCAAAATCCTAATGCATTGCAACAAAGATTTCATCAAGGCTGGGTAGAGCATCCGAACATTAAACATCGCAAAAAGTTTTAGTCGGCAAAAAAGAATTTAATCAAAGAAACGCGTTTCAATAAAGGTAAATTTTATGATTCCATCGTTGCAAAAAAATTTAATTCAACGGGATTTTTTGATGAATTTTATCATTCTTGCAGTAAATTTAAGAAAATGTAAAATTTTTATAAATGAAGGTCTTAAATCAGCACTTCTTGACCGTAGGCTGGAAACTTACTAAAAGCATAGAGATACGCTCATTCGAAAAATCTTTCGAGCGAACTGCAAAAAGTGTTATCGCAAAGGTTGGTTTTATGTCCCTTGTATTTTTTTGATTTATATCAACGACTTTCATCCAATGAGGGAAACACACTTTGTTTGCAGATCATATATAATCTCTGGGTGCTGACAAAATTTCGAAACATTTTACGGTTCAGGCTAAATGAAACAACAAAGCTAATTGTTGCACTGAAAACAAAATGCTAATTTTTGAATCAAGAACCATATAACGAAATTCGGTCGAGCTTGTGACAACAAAAGTTTTCCTATAGGCGATAGTTTTGTCGTACTTAGATGGCTTTGTAAGTATCCGTCTTCAATTATCTTGGAACAAAAATCGACAATAAACTAAAGTTTGACCATCAGATGACAAAGTGACGAAAAAGTTATCGAGATTTAAGGGGCCGTTATTGATTTTTACAAGATGTATGTTATACCATTGTTTTTATACGGACTTATATCAAGTGGTTCATAATCAGAAACTTCTCTTGATCGAGTTCATTGAGTGCAGAAACAAATGATTAAAACAATCTTTTTTGGCCAAAAATTTTTTCTTCAAGAATCTGAAGTTCTTGAGAGCAATGAAATTGACACTTTATTCGATTTGTATTTTAGACAGTTTTTTTGGTAAACGTTTTTTCAACTTACATGGAAGAGCACAATTAGCAGTTTCAATCTTGAATCTTTTGTTTTGTGGAGGGTAACGGGCACCATCCCTCTAAAAATCCTTTCTTCGTTTCTCTCTCGTACTATTACTATGCAGCGATCTCGGCGTAATACTTCATTGAAAGGCTTTAACTTCCTTAAATCGAATCAACTTATTCGGGCTAATCTATAGCAATTTTCAGAATAATAACTAAACGTTTCTACAATAATTCCTACAATAATTTCATCGAATGCAATAGTTTACTCTTGAGCAATTTTTTTGATTGCACTCCTATTAGATACCTTTTGGCATATTTTTTAAAAGTTTTTCAGGGCATGCCTCAACAAGCTCAACAGCATTTTGTATGCCCATGGTGTTATTGAATTCTAAATGAAGTTATATATCCTGTTTCATATTTTCATATGTCACCTAAATGAGTTCAAATTCAAGTTCAGTGACTTTTTGTGGCACCTGATTTTGCATGAAAAAAAGAGAAAGAAAGTAAAACACCCGAAAACATAATCATCCCAATTTTTCAAATGGTCGTAGCAAAAAATTTAATTCAACGGGATTTTTTGATGAATTTTATCATTCTTGCAGTAAATTTAAGAAAATGTAAAATTTTTATAAATGAAGGTCTTAAATCAGCACTTCTTGACCGTAGGCTGGAAATTTACTAAAAGTATAGAGATACGCTCATTCGAAAAATCTTTCGAGCGAACTGCAAAAAGTGTTATCGCAAAGGTTGGTTTTATGTCCCTTGTATTTTTTTGATTTATATCAACGACTTTCATCCAATGAGGGAAACACACTTTGTTTGCAGATCATATATAATCTCTGGGTGCTGACAAAATTTCGAAACATTTTACGGTTCAGGCTAAATGAAACAACAAAGCTAATTGTTGCACTGAAAACAAAATGCTAATTTTTGAATCAAGAACCATATAACGAAATTCGGTCGAGCTTGTGACAACAAAAGTTTTCCTATACTTTATTCTGAAATTGACACTTTATTCGATTTGTATTTTAGACAATTTTTTTGGTAAACGTTTTTTCAACTTACATGGAAGAGCACAATTAGCAGTTTCAATCTTGAATCTTTTGTTTTGTGGAGGGTAACGGGCACCATCCCTCTAAAAATCCTTTCTTCGTTTCTCTCTCGTACTATTACTATGCAGCGATCTCGGCGTAATACTTCATTGAAAGGCTTTAACTTCCTTAAATCGAATCAACTTATTCGGGCTAATCTATAGCAATTTTCAGAATAATAACTAAACGTTTCTACAATAATTCCTACAATAATTTCATCGAATGTAATAGTTTACTCTTGAGCAATTTTTTTGATTGCACTCCTATTAGATACCTTTTGGCATATTTTTTAAAAGTTTTTCAGGGCATGCCTCAACAAGCTCAACAGCATTTTGTATGCCCATGGTGTTATTGAATTCTAAATGAAGTTATATATCCTGTTTCATATTTTCATATGTCACCTAAATGAGTTCAAATTCAAGTTCAGTGACTTTTTGTGGCACCTGATTTTGCATGAAAAAAAGAGAAAGAAAGTAAAACACCCGAAAACATAATCATCCCAATTTTTCAAATGGTCGTAGCAAAAATAGTACAAAAAGGCAGGGACGGATCTAGCTTTTTCTCAAACAGTGGCGAGGTAATGTTTTCAATAAGTTTGTCGATTTTCCAACGCTCACTGGACTGATTTTTCTGCCTCTGCCTACTGAACTATTACATACATTGAAAAAAAATACCTAAAACTTTGCTTTAACCCCAATTTGGAATATCGTCACCTTTTTGGCAAAATTTCTTCTGCCAAAAAAGGTTCTTGAGCTAAAAATTTACACCGTAAAATGAAAATTAAAAAATACAAAAACTAAACTGTATGAAAGTTTTAAAAAATATATTGAAACAAAAAATAAATTAGAAAGTGAACTTCAAAAACTTACAAAAGGTTGAATTTTTCATCAAAAAATGGAAAAAAAGCTCACCGGATAGCTGATTGAAAAACATGATGTCTGGCACCCACATGAACTTCTGCTCGAAGTCCAGTCGGGTAATTTGCTCGTATTCATCTGGGTTCCACTGGATAAAGTCATTAATCCACAGCATCTCAGCCCAGAAGTGCAGGTGAATGTTCTAGAACAAAATAAATCGTCTTATTTCGTTTCATAATTTTTGTGTTCCCACATAGCATCGAATTTCAATTACAGATTGTTTTTATTCCCAATGTTTCTGAATAGAAAAGCAAAATTGATATATTTTTTACTCCATGTTTACTTTTTTCACCTTGATGGAAACTGCTTCATTAGTCTTCAAATTTTAGGCGGCCAAACCCGCATTTCGTTGTTCTCCAAAAAAGTTTTTCACTTGTGTGCGAACTGTAAACAAGGTGGAGAGGTAAATATAAAAAACATCTGAAAAATGGGGAAAAGTTACACTCATGATAATGCTTATGAAAACTTCGCACCTACGCGCTATGTACCTAAAAACCTGGCATCTAGGATTTTCTCGAGGCGGGGGCGCATTTTCAAAAAATTTCCAAAAATTTTGACCTTTTTGTTAGGTCGACGAAATTGATATTCGGAGCTCTCCTAAAGCAAAAAAAAAAGACGCTGTTTTGGCCAAACTTTCTTCGCGGCAGGCAAATTTTTGAAAAAACAGGTCAAAAAAGCCGTTTTGGGGCACTTTGTGGCACTTTGTCGGCAGGGGGTCGAATCCCTGAAAGAAGGGGCGTCCGACCATCCCCCCCCCCTAAAACCACCCCTGTTGGGAGGTGTAAGCCATATGACGGCTCTTTTTCCTTTCTTCCCACCTGCAAACTGCTATAATTAAAATTACAGTTCCGATTGTCATGAAAATTGACATGCAGATAAATTTGGCCATGACAAACATATTTGATCTGCCTAAACATGCTTGTAAAACCACTCGTTAGACCATATAATTGATGCTCGTATGAGGTGGGGGAAAAAGAAAAAAGAGCCCACAAGACTTTAATAATGATATTTTAGACAAATAAATCAATGGGTTGACCTTAATACAACAGAGGTGCAAGTCATTCAATTGCCCGCGAACTTAATAATTTCTGAAGATATTCCATAAATTATACCCACGCCATAGACTCTTCAGATAAATGACAAACATACAGATTGGAAGTTTAATAATATCTCGATAAGGTACGCTAACGATACTATTAGTTTTTCCTCTTTTATGGGACGAAATTGTCACCTCCAATTATTTGCAAATCGTTTCAACTTTTTCGGGATTATAGGCAGTTAAATATTTTTAATAACTAACGTTTTGCTTATTTATTGCCAAAATCCGTCGATTTTATTAGTTCAATTGTGTTAATCGTACTCCTTTCTCATATTAAAGTATTTGGTGTCTTTTTTCAATACCAAAGGGTAATCTATCTTTTTGTTTTTGGCAAAGTTAAAGAAAAACACAATTTTTCCTTATCAAAAATAATGATTAAAATGAAATACGTTGATACATGTAAAGACAACATTAAATCACAAACTAGTGTCAATTTTCACCAAATTTTTTAAAAACCACCGCCGTTAGAAGAACATGTTCCATTTTTACGTTACGTACAGGTACAATTCCTAATTGTACTACTAAATTGGAAACAAATGAAGTGTGAATTATGCTGTCTATTTTACCCTTATTAGCGAGTACATTTGGGAATTCTTTCGCGAGCTGACCAACCTAATCAGTGCAAAATCTGCAAGAACAAAAGATATGCTAAGCTATAACTATAACAACGGTCAAGAAGACCGAAAAAATCACGACAAAAATCTGCTGCCAAACAAAAATTACAATTATATTGTAGAGGGGTCTTGAAAAATGGAATATGTTTTAAAAATTGTCTCTGGAATCCAGGAACATACAGACACCAAAATTTGCGCCTTTTCAATGCGCATTTTGGCCTCGAAATGCTTTGTAACAAAAAGAAACTGAAGATAGCCAAAGAGGCAAAGAAGAGACAATTTTTTGTTCATTGAAATTTGTTCTTTGATATTTTGGACCAAGTTAACATTAAATTGAACGCTGGGATGGAGGATCTTAACTTGGTCAATTTGGGGAGGGGGGCGGAGGATGTTAACTTGATCCGTATTTTCAATTTCGAACATTTTTTGAACTTTGTTGCTGGTTAAAAAACATAGCACATTGCAATAATAAGACAAAAACAATTATATTACTAAGACAAAACTGCTCGTATCAGGGCAATACTCTGACTGTAAATATTATGACTGCCCTAAATTGTATCTGATGAAGTTTTTGCCTAATTGAAAATCCAAAAATAACAAAGCTTTGTTTTTTAATCTTCGTCCCACATCCAATTTCATTGAAAAGTATATTTTTCTTATTTAGTAGCGCGTTATTCGGACCGATTAGTTAAAATCAAATCAATGTGGGATAGTTCTACTGCCGACTTAATCTACCGCTCACGATATCAGTCTATAGAAAAATATAGCCTTTGAAAAAATAGCATTGTTTATTCCAAAAAAATTATAAATAATTCAAATTGGCAGAGTTAGTCCCAACTTAGAACCCCCATAACTTTATCAAAAAATCACGGATAAAACTTTGAGCTCAACTCATCATTATAGTTCAGACTGAATAAAACAAACCTAGCCACTGACATTTGGAAAAGAGTAATGAACGCAAGGAAATTGAAAAAAAAATTGGTTTTTCAAAAATCTTCAACTTTTGAAATTCGAAGAAAACAAAGATGACAATACAGCTCCATGAATTTGTAGAACAAATTATGAGGATACTTTTATGTTGAAATTAATTCAATTTGAGAAAACTGGATCAAAAAGAAAAACATTTGTTTTGCTGGGAAATCTGATAATTAATTTCCATTTTCGAAATTAGAAGTCGATCAGGTTTTTCGTAACCTTTACAACTTTGCTGTTCGATAGTGGAGTTTGCCATCTTCTAGCAAAAGGAATGCGCTGAGCTAAAAAAAAACACAAGTCAAACCGCGAAAAAGCAAAATTGAGCGTGAACAAATTTTAGGACTTTTACCTGAGAAAAAAACAACGAACAAAAAAATCAGCAAGACCTATATAAAAGTACCCACTACGTTCAATACTCTTAACAAAAACAAATCAACAAAAGTGACAATGAATTTTAACAGTTCAAATGTTTCCCGAAGAAAAAACCTCAAGCAAAAATAATCCCTCGATTGTCAAAAAAATATCTTATCAGGGTAAAAGTACAAAGTTCCGACTGTTCATCAACTGGTCTTTAATAGTTTTTAACATTTAAAAATGATAATCTTTTTGTTGGTCTCTCCTCCCCGATAGCTAGAGCAGTATTGTAGGTGGTGTAGAGGGATCCAAAGTCCACCTCCTAGCGGTTGGTCCGGGGCAACTTGTACGTCACCTAAGTGCAGCTTACCAGACTGTCTGTCTGTACGCGGCAAACGATTGAAGTGCAAAACGCCTACTCGGTGGTTAACAGAGGTTGGATAGGACGATTTGGATAGGACAAACTAACTACATTCAAACCAATGAAATAAACCAATTGGAAACAGGAGCGACCGGCCCGAGAAAAACTTTTGGTAAGGCAGCAACCGTGGAAGTTTGGACCTTGGAATTGTAAGACCCTTGAAGGAATTGAAAGAAACGAGATGGATCAATTGATGCTCGAGGAGCGTTTTGACGTCCTGGAATTATGCGAAACCCGCTTGAACAGCGACGGATTATCTGATCTTAGTAGAAATTACACTATTTTGTGCTCGAATGACCCCGAGAGAAAAGATAGAAACGAGATTGCTCTTATTTTCAATTATTTGAAATTGTAATGAACCAGACATAGGCGCCAAAGTTACCGAATTATGGTCGCCTGGTTAAAAAGTTGCATTAATAGTGGGACGTTCAAAATAATCGTTTTTACAGTCCCACTATCCCGGTTGTTGAAAAAGGTGAAAGTCGGGTTGATTGCTTGTACGATGATCACTTCAGAGTAATGAAAGACGGCATCCCCAGCCGTAAAGTTTGATCTCATACTCTGATATTAGATGATTTGAATGCGAGAGTGAGTAAAGAGCAATTGACCGAATTGAGACTAATAGCTGGTTCCTGGACTGCCGACCGAGAAACAAGCTCAAACGGTTAAAAACAACTGAAGTTTTGTTCGGCACACAATTAAAAATTTGTTCGAAACATCAGCGTCGATAGCTTAATTGATCTAGTTGAAGTTGCTAAATTTGGGCAAAATGATTGGATTGGGCAGCTTAGGGCTGGTCTTGACAACCATGGGCTCAAAACAAAGTCTGACTAAGACAACTGGGGTCACATTCTGACAACCAAATTGAAGTTCACAGAAAGTAGGGATTTTAAAGCAAATGCTGTTGGCACTTGGTCGCAAACAGTTCAATGTGCTAATGAAAAGTGTGGTAGAAAATTTCATAGCAAAAAAAAAAGAGATGAACAGGTATCTCAGAGCTAATCATTTAATCATTCAGAACCCTTGGTCCAGACCTCCGATTCTAGTGAAACTGAAAGTGATAAAGCAATTGAAAGCAGTAAAAAAATTGAAAGAACTGCGGAGATTCCCCAACAGCCCAGCAACGGAGAGTCCAAGAAAGGCAAATTTGACTGTCCCTTGCCCGACTGTAACAAGACTTATGACTACGTCAGTGGTTGGACTTAACACATATGCAAAACTGCCACCCGCATGTGAAACTCATCAGCGCATCAGAACAGACCATCTCAGCACCGCAACTGAGTCAGCAATCCTTCGCATCAAACCAAGACACTAGCACAGGTGATGAGGTGCTAAAGTGTCCGATCTGTTCTTATTTCTGCTCTGTTAGGAAGTCAAAGATAAATAACTGTTACGTGAAGCACCGATATTCGTGGGTCAAAGCCAGGCCAATGCCCGAGCCGCAAAACTGTGTTGGCGTTGTCCCGGTGCGTCCACTCATGAGGCAAAATTACGCAAAATTTAGCGTCATGACCACCAGTGTTACCTCGGATAGGTAGAACGGGTTCCCGGCGGTGACTTTCATTTCATTTGAGTAGTTCTAATGCTTTGACAAAAACAAAACCATTGCCCCAAGCCTATACCAGTTTGGGTGCAGATGCGAGAAATTTATTATTAAAACTAATTGTTTCAAAATTTTG